GACTGATGACTTTCCTGAACTGTACAAAAATCATTCCTCCGAGAAATAAATCCATAAAATAAATATATTAGAATAAGCTTTTTTATATTAAATTTATATTCCTAAACTATAAATATTATACTCACATGAGCTTTTTCTTCCTTTTCATCAACCCACTGATGGTCAGCTTGATGTTGGTGAGTCCTTGTATGCAACTCCAGTGGTGTGGGATCCTCGGCCAGAAACTCTTCTTAAAATAAAAGATATATATATTAAATATATAATTATTATATATATAATATATATATATATATATATATAAACTAATTGAAAGTTTTTACTAGTCATCGTCTATATTCAGTATGAGGAATATATCCACTAGTATAAAGAGAGCTTCCTAAATCCCCATAATCAGATGCTCTGTTCTGCTTATTTTGCTCTCTCAATTTTGTGAACTCAAGGCTCACCAAGCTCTACTCAAATCTATCCATACACTCTCTCCAATCCATAATGGACGCTGCTCGAACTTTCTAATGTCCGTGAACATGTTCCTAAGACGAGTTGATCCTCTCCTCTCAAAATTTGTTATAATCATCATGTCATGCTTAGGCAACCACCTAAAATCTTTCTATAAAAAATATATACATAACAAATAATATTTATATAAATTAAATCAAATATTTAAATTCATACCAAATAAATATACCTAAAATTCTCTAAACCACATATTCATAGTTTCCTTTAGGATCTTCTTTCCATGATATGTAAGGAGAATCATATTTGCTACGTATGATGTCCTGAATCTTATCGGTAGGTGGCCTTGAGGGATTGAAGCTGTAGGTTAATCTTTTTGTCAATAACATATAATATATCAAATTATAATAACTTTATAAAATTAATTGAACTTACATATCGCCCTCAAGCTCAATGTATTAATGCTTATCTGTTACAGATGTATGATCTCCATCACCAACCTTTGCTTATGTAGATGATCCACCGTGTTCTGGCTACACCGAATATGGGTAATAATAAGAGTGGGGGTAAGGAGGCTAAGGTATGGTGGATGGACCAGTTTCTAATGTTGGTGGGAGATAATATAGATAGAATAGAGCTGCATGTGTCTGATCTGGAGAGGGAAATCGAGAACTCATTGATGTAGGAGGGAAGTACCTAGGAAAGGGTGGTGGTATACCAATAATAGGTGAATCTAACTATCCTGACCCTACTTACTGGGGGATTGTTGTTGACTCTTAGGTGGTGGTGGTGGTGATAGTATCACTGGTGGAACTGATCTCTACTCCTTACTTTCATCACCCTGTCTAGGTCTGCTTGGTCCACGCTTAAATGTTTTTTACAAGAAAACTTTGAAGTGAATGATCTACGAGAAGGATCGTTACCTGAAGCCATTTGCATTAAAAAAAAGTAATTAGTAAATCAGTGTAACATATAAAAAATTTAAATTATAAATATTTCAAAAATTTGCATAATTAAAAATAAAAAAATAGAATGTAATTTATACAAAATTTATTGCAGTGTATAACAAACATAAAGAGTTATAGAATACATAATAATGATTAACATACAAATAGGATTTGATAAGAGATATTTAGCAAGATATGTTAATAAATTGATTTTAAAAAAAATAAAATTCAAAAAGTACATTACAATAAATTTAATCATTGAAATTATAAGAACTATTCTTTTTTTTTTTTTTTTGAAGAATTGCATCGATTGCATTAAAAGTAGCAAAAAAGAACTAGATACAAGTAATAAAAGGATCACATTCCTTCTTGATTAAATCCATCAAGTCGGAAGGGATACCTTCAAAAGAAAAACTATCAAAAGAAAAACTATTTTCCAATGCCAAAGTAGCACAACAATTAGCTACTTTATTACAATATCTATGGGCATGGTGGAAAACAACTTTATTAAAATCATTAAGAAACAATAAATCCTTTGCCGGCCATCTATCCAAAGGCCATTTATTCTTCTTCAAAGAATCTTGAATGAAATGGATAATGTTGACATTATCACTCTCAATTATCAACCCCTTGCATTCCAACATCCAACTCTTAAGAAACTCCTTCACCGTAAGAATTGCTTCCATTTCCAGCTGTGCCACATCCCAATGAGTCTTCTTCTTACCAAATGCACTAATCAGACGTCCTTTATGGTCCCGAAATACACCACCAATACCACCAAGATTGGAGCTAAGCAATGAGGCATTTAAGTTGATCTTAATCCACTCTTTCGGTGGAGGGCACCAAGAATTTGAAGACTCCCTAAATAGATTAATACCCCATCTAGAAAGATAAGGACTAGACTTGGAAACAGCTAAGAACAATGCATTAGAAGAAACCAAAGAAGCAGGCAATGCATCCTTACCGTGCTTCACATAGTTTCTGTTCTTCCAGGATAAATAGATCACAGAGCAATACATCTTGGCAATTCCAGAATTTCAATTTGAAAGCCTTTTAAGCTCATGTAGATAGCAATCCAAAGAGCTAAAAACAGGGATCATAATACCCCATTCATGCATCTTCTTGATGACCTCCACCATATACTTACAATGAACCATAATATGTTCATAAGATTTAACCACTTGGCAGCCTCTCTCTCAAACATCAAACTCAAAAATTCTATGATTCTTAAGAAACAGATTAGTTGGAATAGCAGCTTTGCGTAACCTCCACCAAAAGATTTCAACCTTTTTTACTGAGTTTGAGCTTCTTCAACCATATGAAGTAATCAACATCTTCAAAATTATACCTGTTACACATTAGCTGTTCATAGACTATTGCAAAAATTGTCTTTCCCGAATACCATTTCAACAGCTCTATGCTATCCTCCTCCACATAATCAATTTGGATTTGTTTAATCAACAAAATAAGTTCTGAATGAAAGGCCCTCTGAAGCAACAAAGAATTCCATTCACCATTATTAGTCAATAGTTGTTGAACATACATACCATCTAACACATCACAGTCCACATAAGTAGGCCACCGATTGATGCTTTTATCCAACAACCAAGCATCATTCAAAACATTAATTTTGTTGCCCTTACCCACCTTCCATCTAATAGCATTCTTCAAATTCTTGCCCCCATCCAGCATAATCTTCCAAGCAGTAGACGTAACTTTCTTCAGATCATCCTTCATAATCTCATCACCATATTTTGACTTTAAAATTTGGTGTAACAAAGAGTCCTGTTTTTGAGTGAAGTTCCAAGCCAATCTAGATCTCAAAGAACCAATTCTCAATAAAGGAGATTGCAAACCCAAACCACCCATACTTCTCGGCTTGCAAATTTCACTCCAAGCTACATAATGCATCCCTTTAGACCCATCATTCTTATGCCATAAAAAACTTATACACAGTTTTTTCAATCTCATGTAAAACTCTTTTAGGAACCAAAGAGTGAGTGATAAGGAAATTTGGCATAGAAAGTAAAGAAGTTTCAATGAGAGTGAGCTTACCTCCCATTGATAATGATTTCTTACCCCAAGTATTGAGTTTGTCCATGACCATATTCAAAAGTTCTTGAAAATCTGCCATCTTGCTTCTTCCAAGTGAAATCTTGACACCTAAATACTTCATCTCCTTGACCTCCTTAAAACCAAGTACTTTCATAATTTTCTTCCTCATAGTGTAGCTCACCACCTTACCAAATAAAATCTGTGATTTGTTGATATTGACTCTTTGTCCTGTCCACTTACAGAAAACCTTCACTATATTCTTCAATGCTTTTGCCAAAGTACTAGAAACATGAGACAAAATCAACACATCATCTGCATAAAGAAGATGTGTGATCCTTGGGCCTCTAGGTGAAATCCGAATGCCTAGATCCTTCCCCCTTTGCTCCAAAGAATTGGATAAGAGTTGAGAACACAAAATGAAGAGATATGGAGAAAGTGGACATCCTTGACGGAAACCACTTTTAGCACAAATCCACTTGGAGTTCCTTCCATTAATGATGATAGAAAACCTCACATCTACAACACATTCCATAATGAGTTTAGAAAACAAAGTAGGAAAACCATACCACTTAAGAACCTGATGAAGTGTTATCCAACCCATGCTATCATATGCCTGTTCCATATCCAATTTAAGAGCCATCAATCCCTTCTTATTCTTGGATAATTTGAACTTATGATGAATCTCCTGGGCCAAGAGACAATGTTCTGATATGGATCTTCCAGGAATGAATGCTGCTTGCTCTTCACCAACCATCTTGTCAATGACTTTCTTCAATCTGTTAACTAACATAGTAGCCACAATTTTGTAATTAGTCTGACATAGGCTAATAGGTCTATAGTTTGATGGAATCAAAGGATATTTTACTTTAGAAATCAAAGTAATTAATGTATCCTTCCACTCTCCATTTAAGATACTTGTTTTGAAAAATCGGTTGACAGCATTCCATAAAGTTTCCCAAACTATGCTCCAATAACTTTTATAAAAAGAGGAAGTAACCCCATCAATACCTGGTGCTTTATTATTCCCCTGCTGAAAAAGCGAGAACTGTAGCTCCTGTAAAGAGAAATCCTCATTAAGCATCACCATCTCAGCATCACTCACCTTCTGGACTTCCTCAATGAATGGCCACCCCGTTAGTTCACACTCTCTCTGCTTCCACTTCTTCTCAAAAAAATTTGTAAAGACCTTCTCAATTTGATCCTCCTCCACATGTACCGCTCGTCTTTGATTTGGTTAATTCAAAAACCATTTCTTCTTGCCGATGCAAAATTTTGAAAAAATCTTGAGTTTGTATCTCCTTCCTCATTCCATCTAACTTTTGCCCTTTGATTCCACCAAGTAGACAAACGCCTCAATGTGATGTTCAATTCATGTACTTTGTTCCTAAGTACACAAAGGTCATCAACCAACCAGTTAACATCCTGAGCTTCCCTGTTTTGAAGGTCTAGAATTTCCCTCTTCAAATTTTCTTTCAACACATTCAATTCCTTGCACTTGTTTTTATTCCAGAAAAACAATGCCTTCAAAGTACATTTGAGTTTCCTTTATAGTATTGTATATTCATCACCAAAGTCATTCTTTATCCAAGAATTATAAACAATAGTTTTGGCTGCAGGGTATGATTTCCAAATGTCTTCAAACTTAAAGATTTTAGGCTTACAATGCACTTTATCCTTCATATTAAGAACAATAGGACTGTGGTCCGATGCAACTCTAGTAAGATGCTTGATAGTAGCCATTGGAAGCTTTTGAATAGCAGTTGAATTCAGTATGCATCTGTCCAACCTCTCCCAAATCCAAGAGGTCTCCTCTTTGTTATTACACCAAGTAAACCTTGGTCCCATGCTTCCAATGTCATGGAAATCTGAATTAACCATAAAACTCTTCATCTCCCTAGGTCCTTTTGAGAACAAGAACCTCTTACCTCCTCTCTTCTCCTCCTTGTAAATAATACAATTAAAATTCCCTCTAATAATAGAAGGAATTGCATCCTCCATACAATCTTGAAGTTGCTTCCACAAGTTTTCCCTTTCCTTGCAAATTCTGCTCCCATAAACCGTGGCAATTTTCCAAATTCCCAAACTGGGAATCGAAAGGCTACCAACAATTGCTTGTGAGGATGCCTCCACCACATCAAAGAAAACCATATTCCTATTCCATAATACCAGAATGCCTCCTGAAGTGCCCACAGCAGGGTAATAAAAGTACTCCCACTCCTTCCCAATCATATAATCAACATCTTTTCTCTTAATGCTAGACAACTTGGTCTCCATAAGCCCAATAAAATAAATACTATGATCTCTAACAATGTCCTTCAAATATAGGGAGGCTTCTTTTTTCCTTGCCCCCCTACAATTCGAAAAAAGGATTGAAGACATTTAAACAGGTGTAAATGGTCTCTCCCCACTCTTGGGGTTCAACCTATCATACCTCTTTTTCTTCTTATAATCCACTTCCACAGGTCCTAAAGATCTCAATTCCTTGGCCAGCTTCACCTTGGCAGCATCACTATTAACAACCAAATCACTGTTACTGACATTAGCATCAGTATTTTTTCGGCCTCTTTCTGCTGTTTTTACATCTTCACCATGATTCCCCAAACAATCTTCTTCAATGCTTTCACTTAGCACAACAAACCTATTGGTTATAGCAGTATCTAAGCTCTCATTCACAGCAGGTTTTTCATATCCATCCATAATTTTTGGAACCAGGATAGTCTTTCCATCAGTATTACCCTTTTCATTCACCATTTTGATACCTTTATGTGCATTATTCTTCTGATTAATGTTCCCCCTGACAGCATTGCCGAACCTATCCGCATTCACTACCTTTCCAGTAACATTACCCTTGTTGTTTTTCCTGTCTTTGAAGTGAACATGGATCCAGGGACCATATTCAGAGCTTATCACAGATGTTTTACTCTCCGGCATAATCTTCTCACCAATTTCCTTAACTACCTCCTTATCCTTCAAAGCTTGATTTTGTATTCCAATAGATACATTCTCTGGACATATATCTCTGTTATGGCCCACTCTACCGCACTGATAATAGAGAAGATTGATTTTCTCATATTCAACTCGTTGGAAGAACCTCCCGGCTGAGCCATCCACCCAAACACCATTCAGCAATTTCTTCTCCAGATCAATCCTCACACATACACGGGCAAACTCCCGTTTCCCCCTGTGGAATGTGTTACCATCAATGTACATTGGCGTTCCCAAGCAAGATGCAATTCTTGCAATGTTATCCTCATCCCAGCAATACAAAGGTAGACATGGAAATCTAACCCATACTGGTGTTGAAACTCCTTTAAACGTGTTCGGATCAAATGCAGCCGACCACCTATCCATTCCAACAATGGATCCATTCACATACCAGGGTCCCCCGTTCAGAACTTCATCAGCTACATCATTAGTATGGAATGAACACAGGATCCAATCCATACCAATCGACGTTAAATGGAAACCACCAAACTTGCTCCATTTCCTTCTTAACTCGATACTACAAATCAAAAAAGGCACATTATTACCCAGCACTTTAATCACCACCGAGTTCTTCAAAATTTGCAAATTCTTTGCCTCCATATCTGCATTCAACTTAACAGCAATGCCATCTTCTGAAAACTCAACCTGATCCTTATTAAAAGATATCTTGATTGGCTTTGGTTTCGACCAGGCTTCAGTAACCTCATTACTTTTGTTCTTCCGAAATTCCATGTCCACTGATTCGTTAGTCTTGTCCTCCACAACTACATCTTCCTTCAGAACTTCCAACGATGATAGATCGTCATCAATATTACGCCCCTTAATCGTATCAAGAACCCCAGAGAAATTGTTCACACGTAGAATTAAATCATTCGACGCCGACGATTCAAGAATTGCCAAACCTAGATTTCAATTCACACCAAGAAATTTCTTTCCATCCATATTTTCAACCAACACACTCTTTCCCTTACCTTCAATAGAGACTTGACAGCAACGGGGTACCTCACCTTCTCTAATCAAAATACCATTTGAACCTCTACGATTGGGACGTAGAGGCCCCGTAGGTCACAGAGCGTTCATGAAGATGCCAAGCAAACGTCGGCGATCATCTACTGCTGCCACTACCGATCGCGGGAATCCCACAAAAAATCAAATTCAAACTCAGGAAGACGGACTTTCTATGTCTAGAAATCAAGACTTTCTATCTCTATAAATAAGGCAACAAGTATTCAAATTATAAGAACTATTCAAAATCAAAAATATTTTCAATTCTCTCTAAGGTTATCTTCACTTTCATTCTTGTTCTCATTTGATGAGCTAGTTGAACTATACATATCTTCTAACTGCATTTCAATATTATGGATTATAGTTAACATCTTCTCAATTTTAACAACCCTACAATTTAATATCTCATCCTCTTGATGAGTAGTTGCTATAATGTATTATTGATCAATTATCCCCTATGCTTTTTATTTTTATGACTGCTAGCCAATCCTATTTATCCCTACGACCATTAAGATATTTATTGAAATAAACTTGATCAGTTTGACTTGCTAACACAAATGGATCAAATTTATCATATCTTCTACTATATTTTACGTCTATTAAACCATATATAGGATGAAACCTTATGCCTCTATTCTATATATTTGATCACACCATTGATAATTAAATAAACATAAAAAGTTCTCATCTTCACCTGGGTACTCTAGCTCAAGAACCTCATTCAGAATACCATAATAATCACACTCATCTTCTTCATAAGTATTCACTCTAACACATACTCCATTATTTTTTAGTTTTTCTTCTTTTACTCCAAGTTTTTAGAAGAAAATCTGAACCCATTCACTATATATATATTGGCCAGGTCTTTACTTTTTGCATTTGGCCCCATATTAGTGTTTGTAGACTTTTATTGAAACACTTATTATCAGTATAATGTACTTAAAAAAATTTTAAATGTTAGGGTTTTTAGTTTTAAATAAGATGTAATTCAAATAAAAATTTTAAAATTTAAGGGCTCACATAAGATCTAAACCAAACAAGGAATTCATTTGCAATAACTTGCTTAATATCCGAAGTATCTGTTAGAGGCAAATTGCTTACGATATACTTAACGACAAATCATCCAAATAAGATTTTAGTATTTCAAATAAACATTACTCCTTTTGCATATTATGGAAGAACTTATTCTAATATTGGTTGTACTTTTTTATAGTTCAGTAGAATATATAAACTCACTATTTTAATTTCTAAATCATTGAGAAATCTTTCAACACATTTGCCACTGGGCTTTCCATGACTTTTAAAGACTGATAGTGCAGTATATGATTATTCTTATACATCGAAGTTTATTTTATGACCAATCTTTATTCTTGTATTCCTTATATAGGGCTCAAAGTAGTATGAGAGAAGTGAGTTGTTTCTTGAGACAAATATGCTTCACATATTGATCATTCTGGTCATGCTTTATTCTTAACATATTTTTTCAACTTATTCAAATATCTGTTAAACGAATACATATCAAGTTAATAAACATATTTTTTCAACTTGTTTAAAATTATTTAAGACAACTTAATAAAAACACATTTTACCTCTCGAAAGGATACATCCAATGATATTATATAGGTCCATCAACTCTAGCTTTGTAAGATAGATGGACTTGAAGATGTTCTATAGAATCAAAAAATCTAGGGGGAAATTTTTTTTCTAACTAGCATAGGATGATTGGTATATTCTCCTCTCTCCTCTATAAAGCATCTTCCATTAGTTTGGATGAACATAAGTCTTGAAAGAAAAGGCTAAGCTCAGTTAATGGATTTGATATGTAATCTGGTAACATACATACTATGATCGAAAGGAGAACCTACAATATTATGTGACAATCGTTACTTTTTAGTCCAAATGACCTCACAGATTAAAGATCTACACATTGGCTTAAGTTTGATCCATAGCCATCAGGCATTTTTAAACCTTTAAATTACTAAGATATTTATCTTTTTTGCTCTAACGTAAAAGAGTAAGATGCTTTGGGCTTTATTATTTTGTCATTGCTAGTTGTTACTAACTTTAGATATCTTCATCAGTAGTATTCTTTAATGTGCATCCTAACTTTGATATTATCCTTGCTCTTACCTTTAACATCCATAATTGTATTAAAAATATTATCCAAGAAGTTCTTCTCAATGTGAATAACATCCAGATTATGCCTTATCAAATTTGTTCTCCAATATGATAATATCTAGAAAATACTTTTTTTAATCCAATTATATTAAACACAATATCCTAGAAATTTAGACTCTGATAATGTTAGAAAATTAATAACGGATGAAAAGTCAAAAAGTCTCTATAGTGTGTTAACACCACTTAAGGAGTTGACCTTTCAACTCTATTTTTAATGAATGCTTTCTTATTCCTACTAAACAAATGATTATAAGGTAGGAATATACGATGATAATCAAACCAATTATTTTTCCCTCCATATTTTAGTGTGGAAGGCATTCACCAACCATCCAACAATAGTTTAGGATTCGATACCCACATTTGAATAAGATATTTAAGCATTGCAGGTCTAACCACCATCTTATAGATTTTTCCCTTAAGTTTGAGGGAAACTTTTCTATCACACAACAAGTCCAAAACATTCCTCCACTTTAACCATCCAACTTGAATTCTCCTAATAATAAACCTACCTATTTCACCATCACTCAAAATAATATACTGATAATATTTAAAATATATACTCTTATGAATGACATGAAAAATAAAAGTTCGTTAGGGATGTTAAGCCCTTGAGAACTAGCCCGAGGCTAACAAAGAGGGAAAAGGCCCGAGGAAAAAGAGGGGGGGGGGGGGGGGGTGGTGAATTGGTATTTAAAAAAAAAATTCTTAGATCAAATCACAGTAAGCACAAACCAAAATCACCACAGAAAAATAAGAGTGAAAAATTAAAATGCGAAAGCAGTAAAAAAGAACACAAGGGTTTATAGTGGTTCGCTCAACTTGACCTACATCCACTCCCTGGAGGCGCCCTCCAGGTATTGCACTAAGTAAGTGTCTCTCCTTTAGCTCCCACAGCTAGGCGGAGAAGCCTTTACAACTTACTCCTTTTCATTAACCTTGGTGCGGCAGAGAACCGACTCCTTTTTCTTCCTCCTGAAGCGAGCAGAGAACCAACTCCTTTTAATTCTTCCTGAAGAGGGTAGAGAACCCGGACCTTTTGCTGAAGTAGACCTCCCAAAAATGAAGGACGAAGACCGGAGAAGACGACTTTGAACCTTGCTTGGAGTACCCTTGTGAACCCTCTCACAAACTCTCCCTCACAAGTTCCTCTCTCTCTCTCTCTCTCTCCCTCTCCCTCTCCCAAGGCTCTCTTAGGTCAAGACAGCAGCACTCAAGGTCTCATACATGAGAAAAATTAGATCCTTTAAATAGAATTTTAAGAATCGACATTATCATCCAGGACAATATGGATATCATCCAGGCTGATCAGTACAAATCATGGACTATCGTACTGAATATCGCCCTGAATGGGGGTCTGGATGATTCAAAATAAGCTTGATCGTCCAGGAAGATCTCACGATTATCCCGAACAATTAGTTCAAATCAGAGGTAAATCGTCCAGAACATCACCCTGAATATAATCTGGCCGATGTTGATCATCCAAAAATAACTAAGGTTTTCAAACTGATTGTCCCGAACGATATTGAGATCGTCCCGGATAATGTGATCGTATCAATCATCCTTAATTACTTTCCTTAATTGTCTGATCAATTTAGGCATAATTGTATCAAATCGTCTAGGACGATACATGATTATCCTGGCCGATATCCAAAAATAAAGAATGCCTAAATAGATCATGTCAGTGAATTCTTTCTATTTTGAGCATATCGTCCTGGCCTATACATGTATCGTCCAGGACGATATCCTAATGTCGGCTGCCTTAACTAAGAGTCCTGATTAAGGTTTCTATTTTAAACCTGATCATCCAGGATGATATAAATATTCCGGGATGATGTGAGTAAAAATAGAAATTCTAAATCAGATAGAAAAATCACTCAAGTGTGTGTGTGTAGGGTTACTTAGCATCAGAACACTTTAAAGGTTACAATTGACTCAAGAAAGGGAAAAAGTAACTTACAGACTGACTCAGACCTAGTCTACCCAAACTTGAGTTGGTTCCGATTTCCGTCTGATCTTGTGGCCCTAAAATGTCTGTAGAAAAGGCAGTCGTAGATAAATAAGAGTGTTTGCTAATCATCAAAACATAATTCATTAAAATAGATTTGCAACAATCTCCCCCTTTTTGATGATGGAAAAACTCTCTGACGATTAATTCCAAAATAGCAATGCAAAATATAGAAAAGCTTTCAAATTTTCAAAATACATAACATAGTGAAAACACTCAAACATCCTTCTCCCTCTTTTGACATCTCAAAAAGGAGGAGGAATGAAGACACAAAGTATGCAACCCCCCCTTTTGAATGAACCAAGGCATGAACATGATGTAGTATTCCATGTGATTGATTTTAAAATTTGTAGGTTAATGAGTTAACAACATCAAAAAATCCAAAAAATGATAGAATATCCGATCATGGTTACCCTTAGCTCAGTTTTTCTTTTAGGGTAAAATCTTCTATTGAAATCAATAACCTAACTCAAAGAGTTCAATTGAATATGAAAAAGAATCCATTCACCACTTGATTTCAGAAAAAATATCTTATAGAATAATGTATCAAAGTAATTATGTCACAGTCGTAAAAAAGTAAAAATCAAGCCTTTGATTTTATCACGTGATATATGAATTCTTCCAAGTTTTAAAAGTTTTTGAAAGGAGAGGAGAGTTTGCTTTTTGGTGGGCTCATTTTATGCCTCTTGTCAATTTGAATGACGCTTTGCGCTTCTTTTCGATACACTTTGTGTATATATTTATTTTCAATTTGGCGTCATTGCGCATCTTTTGATTTTGGCATCATTGACCACTTTTTTTTGCAAGCTACATTCTATTTCAAAAAAACTCTTAAATAATCTTAGTTGTGAGTATATCTTCTAGATATTAGAGAAGAAAAACTCACTCTCTAATATAAAGAATATCAATCCATAAAACAGAATCAATAATCGTATGAATAAATGCAATGACTAGAGTATCGAGGAATTCTTGATGTGACAAAAGACTTTAATCATTATTTATACAAGATAGATTTGCTGTAGCAAGGTTAGAAAAGATCTTAATTATATACTCCATTTATTAGTTTGAGATACAATATTGATTAGAAAAGAAAATCGTGCCACTAAAATATGTTAGAGAAAGAGACACAATCAACGGTATATTTTTACCATTTAATGGATTAAGAGATGTAAAACATTGACTGCAAATTTTTAAAAGCAAGAACAAGGCATACGATATCATTTCCGCGATGATTAAAAAGTAAAAAAAAAAAAAACTTAAAGCAATAAATGCTGAAAAGAGGAAGAAAAAAAGACAAGCAAATAAAAAGAACGAAAAAGAAAAGTAAATAAAAATCAAGTTCATTCATTTATGTCAATCACACCCAATCTGGTCCTTAAAGAGCTGAAAGTGTCGAAGGCCAGTGGTTTAGTAAAGATGTCAGCCAGTTGATTCTCAGTTGTCACATGGTGTAACTCAATACCCCCTTTGTCACATGGTCTCTAATAAAGTGATGTCTAATGTCAATGTGCTTAGTCCTTGAATGTTCGATAGGATTCTTAGAGATACATATGACACTAGTGTTGTCATAGAAAATTGAGATGGTGCCTACAGGTAATCATAAATCCAATACTTGTTGTTTCAACCAAAGGACTTGGGTCACATAACTTCCTAAGGAAATGTACTCAGCTTCAGCAGTGGAAAGTGCAACAGAGTTTTGCTTTCTACTAGACCATGAGACCAAAGATTGTCCTATGAATTGACAAATTCCAGAAGTGCTTTTTCTATCCACCTTACATCCTACAAAATCAGAGTTAGAAAATCCAATAATCTCAAAAGAAGTGCTGTGCGTAAGGTACCAAATTTCTAAGCCTTGGGTCCCCAAAAGGTATCTAAAAATTCTCTTAACTGCAGTCAGGTGGAATTGCTTAGGGTCAGCTTGAAATTTAGCACAAAAACAAACACTAAACATTATACCAGGTCGGCTAGCAGTCAAGTAAAGTAAAAATCCAATCATGCCTCTATATTTCTTTTGATCAATAGACTTACCACTTGGGTCCTTATTTAACGGAACACTAGAAGTTATGAGAGTATTAATTGGCTTGGTTTTATCCATCTCATACTTCTTCAAAATGTCCTTTATGTATTTTGATTGATTTAGAAAAGTTCCATCATCTAATTATTTTATGCTAAACCCCAAAAAGTAGGACAACTCTCCTATCATACTCATCTCAAACTCTCTACTCATTATTTTAGAGAATTCATCACAAAGTTTCTTATCAGAAGATCCAAAAAGTATGTCATCCACATAAATCTGAACAATGAGCAAATTATCTCCAACTTTTCTAAGAAAAAGGGTGGTGTGTACGATCCCCTTAACAATTTCCCTTTCTAGTAAGAATGTGCTAAGCCTCTCATACCAAGCTCTGGGTGCCTATTTTAAACCATATAAGGCCTTTTTTAATTTAAAAACATGATTTAGAAATTGGGAACTCTCAAAACCTGGGGGTTATTCTACAAACACATCTTCTTTTATTTCCCCATTTAAAAAGGCACTCTTAATATCCATTTGAAAAAGCTTAAATCCTTTATAACAGGCAAAGGCTAATAGCATTCTAATGGCTTCCAATCTAGCTACAGGGGCAAAAGTCTCCTCAAAATCTATTTGGTTATACCCCTTAGCCACTAATCTTGCTTTATTCCTAACCACCACTCCAGAATCATTCACCTTGTTCTTAAAGACCCACTTGGTTCCAACTACACTTTGTTCCTTAGGTCTTTCTACAAGATCCCAAACATCATTTCTAACAAATTGGTTCAATTCCTCATATATGGCTAAAATAAAAAACTCATCAGAAAGGGTTTTGTTTATGTTGGTGGGTTTAGTCATTGAGATAAAAGCTGTGGTTACCTTACAACCAAAGATATGAAGGTGTGAAAGATTGGGTGTCCTACCCTTAAGGATCTCATCGGGTGTCTTA